CAAGGAATAAAGTTTATTTTGGCAGATAGCATTAAACAAAATGAAAGTCGCGTGTGTTAGCAACAACTCAACACCCTTAATCTGGTGTAAGTATGACACATGTTCTTGATTTTTTGTATCCTGCTAAATCATCATACCTAAACTCTTTCATAAAACTGATATGCTGAACTTTAACTTTACTGTTTTTGCTCATGGTCTGATTCCAAACAAAACTTTTCATAGGCTTTCTTCAATCTCTGGGTTCACCTCATCATCAGTATCATCCAAGTACGGATCACCAGCCCCTGATAAAACCGTTCCATTTTCTTCATAATCTGGGAAAAACTCCTCTCTTTCAAGTAACTCAATATTTCTCTTGGTAATTTTCCCCACTCTGCTGCGTGTTCACAACACTTAATTATATATTTCTATGCCACTTTCAAGAGACAAATTTCTGGTTCTGCTGAGGAGGAACAACACTTCCACACTATTTTTTCTTCCTTCAAACCTGCCCTCCCTTTCCCACTATAAATTCTTATATCAAAGGAAATGGGCAATATTGAGAATTGGTAAGAAGGAATTTGTGTTACTGGGTAAACCTATTTTGTCTGTTTACAAAGAGGTCTGAAATTTAGGCCTATACTGTTCAATACAGTAGTCACCAGCCACACATGTCTATTTTACTATAAACTCAAATTAAAAATGCAAGTTCTTAGCCAGGCATGATGGTGCATGCCTGTAATTCCAGACTTGGGAGACTGAGGCAGGAAGATTTCTCAGAGTTCAGTACCAGCCTGGGATACATGGTGAGTTTAAGACCAGCCTGAACTACATAGCAAGACCCTGTCTCAAACAAACAAAGTATTTCAATTAACCATAGTTATAATTTTCCTGCTGAGTCAGGGATTTAGCTCAGTGGTTCTGTCACCTGCCTCGCAAGCGCAAGGACCTGAGTTTGATCCCTGGTACCAAAACAAAACAAAACAAACAAACATAACTTTCCTGCTGGTATTCATGGTGACAGAATTTAGTTAATACATGTTCCTTTAAAGTGCTTTCTGTATTCGTCCATGCAACACTGTTTTATTTGTTTGCTTTAAATCATACTTGCTTTCTGGCCCAACAAAATGTTCCAAGACTCATCTATGTCTTCCCAGACCCAGACATGGAATCAGTCATCTAAGCCATATGGGTTCCTTTAGTGAAAAATAGTATTAAATCCCAAATTTAAACAGAGGTCATATGATCAAGCTCATGATGATGTAGTAATATTGTTCCTTGGCCAGTTCATTAAACAGACCTAAAAAGGATGTATTTTAGTAAATGTTATTATTAATGTTAATATTTTCAACCTAGTTCTCACATTACTAAATGACTTTTTTATTCTTCTTCCAAATAATAGTTGTATTTCTCTTTATTATTCAATAAAACATTCAATTCTCACTCTAAAAAGGTTGAATTTTTAACCAAATTGGCATAACTTGTTTATTTTACTTGATATTACCAAAAATATCAAATACTAATACAAATATCAATGCTAACAGTAAGGTTGTTGAAGAACATTCAAATTTGTCTTTGCTTTTTACCTGCAATGCATTGCCTAAGGATGACCATTGTCACCCACTGTAAGTCTTCATTTTGGATGTTCATGTAACACTTAACCAATGTATGATCAGCCCTCTTAGTTCTTTTGATGGCATTGACACTTCTAAGCACTTACATGGGTGTGGCTTTGAGCACTAGTTCACTTTTTTCTTTTGAGAAACTAGGGGTTTGTGTGTATGTGTGTGTGTTTTGTTTGGTTTTTGGTGTTTTTGTTTTGAGAGTGTCTCACTATGTAGTTTAGGCTGGCCTAGAAATCGCAACAATCCTCCTGCCTCAGCCTCCTGAGTGCTGGGATTACAGGCGTGTGCCACCACGCCCGGCAATAATTTGTTTTTTTTTTTTTAAAACAAAGTTTGGCCAGGCATGGTGGTACACATCTATAGTCCCAGCACTCAGGAGGCTGAGGCAGGAGGATCCCTGTGAGTTTGAGACCAGCCTGGACTACACAGTGAGTTCCAGGTCAGTCTCACTACATAGTGAGACGTCTCAAAACAAAACAAAACAAAACATAAAGGCAGATAGGCTATCTTTGCATTGCCTTTTAAAGATAAATTGTTGTTTTGAGATAGGGTGTGGAACTCTCTATGCAGCCCAGGTTGCCCACAAATTTGCTGCAATCCTCCCGCCTCAGCCAGTGCTGGGACTACAGGCATGTACCACCACACCCAGCTAAAGATAGGTTTTTAAGTGGAAGGGAATTAACAGTATCCTCCCTTTTTTTTTTTTTTTTTTTTTTTTAAAACTCCAATCCTTGAAATTTCGAGGCAGGTGGTGGCACCACTGAGCTAAATCCCTGGCCCAATATCCCAAAAGTTTTGGTGAACAGGAAATGGTGTTAATATAAGAGGTTAGGCTGTGGTAAAACTGGCTGGAGAAGTAGGTGTGACCTGTGAATTACACAATCCTGGACACACGAACCAGGCAGCTCCCAAAGCCCTGGGAGAACGCGAGGGGCTTTCCATAGGATGGCCTGGACCTGACCTCAGCCTGAGGCATGCGAGTGTTCCCGATGTGGATGCTCTAGAGCATGGGTTTCCTCAAGACGTGGGCAGCATAAAAGAACACAGGCGTCGACGTGGAGAAGAACTTGCTATCATGGCTTTCTTCACAATGGTCCACTCTGTGTCCTCTATCTAGGGTACACTTTTGTTTGTTTTGAGACAGGGTCTTGCTATGTACTTTAGGCTGGCCTTGAACTCACTATGTAGCCCAGGCTGGTCTCAAGCTTGCAAGGATTCTCCTGCATCAGCCTCTCAAGTGCTGGGATCTGCCGCCTCACCCAGTTTCCAGGGTGTCTTTTTTATATTGCTTTTTCTCTTCTTTTGTTTGGCCAAAGCTCACTCTGCAGAGTCAATTTCTCCCTCACGCTTCACTTTTACTTTTCAAATACACGTTGTCACCGTGTTGTGCTTGTTTCAGTCAATTCTTCAATCGAGGTGAGAAGGAGAGGCGAGCAACCTGAGACCCAGGGACATTTATTTGGTAAATCACTTTTAGAAGGAGCTACCCAATAACGATATCACTGAGTAACCTTAAATAATTCTAAACGATTACACGGAGGTTTAAATTCCAGACTACACAATTACAGACTTCCAAGACAGACTTCCTGGACTGGGACCTGCACACGTAATTCTGTTACTGTCATCATTTGACATACTCTTGTGAGGATTTAAGCAGTTACCTCTCCTTTAGCATAATTTTGTTTTCTTCCTCAGCCTAGGAATGAGCCGAAAGAAAGATTTCTAGAAGGAAAGTCCTTGATACCCAATCGGTTTTCTAAAAGAAAAACAATCCAACGAAGCGCAGTTACAGGTTCTGCCTAATAGTAATATAGAAGCAAAACTCATTTCGTCATTTAAAGCAACAGGGTGGCCACGTGTGATTCCCCAGGCGGTGCCTCGCCCACAGGAGGCAGAGCTATGCGTAGCACACTGCTAGGTGGCCTGACCTAGGGTCCAGCCAGGAGCTGGCCTTCTTGACTTTATTCTGCTCCCCTGAGCTTTTCTAAGAGGCCTCCTCCAGTGGTGGCACTATGAAATTGGGGACACACCGCTGATTGTTCCTCTCACACCCCAGACCCAAACACTCCCAAAGCTTATTTCAGTGCTGCTAGCGTACCCAGAACGGCTTGTGTTCGCTCTCCTACTATACCATTTACTTTATCGCATTGTAATTGCTGGCAATCACATCTGTCACCCTTTCGACTGTGACTTCCTTTGTACAATATTTTACTGCTATAGCGGTGTCCTGAAAGCACAGAAAGTACATCGCTTCAGCCAGGAGTTATTATGGTCCCCGGTGCTCACATCAAATGGGCCTCTTGATGTTAGATTCAAATATCTCACGGAACCAGTCGACTCTGATTTATCTTACACAATGAAATATGTTATTCTAGACATATCCTGGGGAGCCGATTCTCAAAAATTATTTATAAATCTCCAAGGAACAGGAAGTATTCAAATTTTCTAGAGAACTTCGCAATCCATTTACCAGGAGTAAAAAAGAAAAACCCCACAGGTGAATTCTAGGATGTTGATGTTACTCTGCATTCTTAGTGGACTGAATTCCCTTGCCCATTTTTGTATCTGCAATGTTTGAAGGTGCTTAATGTATAACTCAGTAAATATATGTTGAATGAATAAAGTATATATGTGTTAATATACACAACTCTTTTAATCACCAGTCTGGGACAGCTGTACTTTAGTGACCTATTAGAGACTTCAGTTTGAAAGTGATTTCAATTTGAAAGCAAATTCAATCCAGCTTTTTTTTTTAAAAGCCCAGAAGAAGCCACTGACAATTGAGATACAAGGCCTAAGGGCTATAACTACCACCAGTTCCCCCAGATTGGTAAACTTCATTTCAAAGCTGGCTTTCAACAACAATGCTTTTACTGGATTATAATTAGCCTCTACTGAGAGTTGAAAAAAGGAAAAATCCACATAAAAAATTGTTCCCGCATTTTAATAAAAAAAAATTCTATTTAAAATAATTGTTGGGCCGGGGATTTAGCTCAGTGGTTCTGTCGCCTGCTTCACAAGCGCAAGGTGCCAAGTTTGATCCCCAGTTCCAAATAAATAAATAAATAAAATAATGGTCCAATTCTCTAGAAAGCAAGCTCCTGGAGGGCAGACATTTCGCAAGTTCTAATGTTACGGACAGGGTCTTAGCGCAAACTGCGGGCTTAAACAAATACTTGATCTGTAATGAATGAAGGAATTATATTCGTTGTCCTTTATACAAAGAGCTGCACAACAATTTTTTTCTCAATCATATTTTCAAACAACTTCTGTGACAGGAAAACGGGTTAGTCTTCCTAAATAAACGTTGTGTGCTTTCTTTCATTAGGCAGTAAGAATTTGTTTTGTTTGCCTTCACCTTCCCGGAAGACCAAAGTGACACCATTCCAAGAATACCTTAATTGGTCTTTGTCTTCCATCTTTCAAATCCTGTACTCTCACACCATCACCGGAATTACCTTATGGAAAAAAACACAGGGACAAAAGATCAGGTCCTGCGCTCCCTTTCCCTTCATGCCCCCCTCTAGATTTCCAGTTCCCAACCCCCAAGTCTTCTGTGCTTGCCCTTCTCTGCCAGCTGCCTTTCCTACCCCCCAAACCACCACGTTTCCGCTCTGGGACTCTGGTGTCCCCTCAACACAAACTGCTTATCCTCACTTCTGTGACACTCCTGGAGTTATTTCCCCACTTTACAACACCCTCTCATTGTTCCAAGTACTCGCCCCTCAATTCCCACATCAAAGACTGTCTTTTGAAAGTGGCTCTTGCCTGTCTTTGCATCAAAGTGGCTCTGCTTCTTAAACCTCAGTTTATTCATTGGCAGTGCTATAGTTTCCTGCCCCATAGCATAGTGTGAGGAGGCAATGAAATTATCCGCATTCAGTAAATACCCATGTACAATACACTTTTAATTCTTAATATAATTTCTTCTATTTAGCCAAGATGTACTTTATTCTTTGTATCTTAAATGAGGGACTTATGTAATGTGCCTTGAGAACAATAGTCCCAGAGCGTAATACATTTCAGAGTATCCTCACATGGACTCGTTCACTTAACAGGCAACTTAGCTTTTTTGTTATGCAACCATGGGCTATTTAACACTGCCTTAATGTGGTCAGCGCATTTTCCTGTTCTCTAAATTAGTTTACAACAGTGACAGCTGTATGTTTTGTATCTTGTGCGTGTTTCTGTTTTAATTCTTCTTCTGCCACGAATCTGAATTTGCTATCTGTCAAGTCCACTATTAGGGAGGTGACAGCATCGTGGCACACGGAACAATCAGGGCAAGTATACTGGTATAGCACAAATGTTACCCTGCATTTTCTCTGTTTATGAGTCTGGGTTTATGGCCCTAACTGGGTCTCTGGCTCGAAGATACTTGGCAGCCACTTTCTCAAAACCGAAGTTAGGTTACGTCATCTGACGCACAATCTGGAGACAGGACCCAATTTCAAACTTTTTTATAAAAAAAAAGTCCCATTTTCCTTCTGGGGTGTGTGTGTGTGTGTGTGTGTGTGGAAAATATATAATGATTATGGAAGAAAACACAATCCGAATGGGATTCATCATAGGAGTTCCTTCTGACTGTGGGCCTGACAATTTATAAATTTGAGTAAGTCATGTGCCTCACCAACCTAGCAAACCAGGGAAGCAGGGAGCTGATCTTCTGCAACATTATATAGTTTGTGTCTTATAGACATCATATATATATATTCCCCCCCAGGGATCAGCAGAAAGTCTGCCTCTTCAGTTGGGAGAGGGCTGCTGTGTTCATTCATTATCTATCTCAAATATATCTCTCAGTGTTACTTAAAGATTTCATAAGGCCACTTTAATTTGTGTCACATTACACAAATACTTTAAATTAATCTGAATAAATTCTGAATGTATTCTGGATATAAACTGAAAATATATAACACTAGTGGAGTTCAAGAGAACAAGTTCTCCGGAGAGGCTTAGAATTTATTCATAAAATAAAAACAGGCTAATTGAATGATGTTGATGTCATTGGACATCTTAGGCCCCACAGCGAGATGCTGCACATTTAGAGACATTACTCTATCCCACAGCTTGCAATCTAAAATTAGATAAACATAGGCAAGCTGGATAAACATAGCACATTTTTAAGACAAAAAACAAAAAAAGATGGGAGGAAAAAAATCGAGTAGTGAATCAAAAAGGCAAAAGTAATTAACAAATATTCATCTATTGCCTTTTTCTTGTAGATGTAATTACCTCTACCAGAAGGAATTATACTGTTGTTCTGTTTTGTTTTTGTTTTTTTGTACCAGGGATCGAACTCAGGACCTTGCACTTGCGAGACAGGCAGTGGAACCACTGAGCTAAATCCCCGGCCCTAGGAATTATACAGTTAAAGTCAAGGAGGGGTTTTCTGATTGTACCTGAAGGATCTAGGATCATCACTGAAGTGTTCTCAGTTTTGAGGTCCTGAAACTCATCTTGTGCAGGAGTCCTTGTTTGTCCCCACTTGCCTGGCTATACGCACTACCTCCAGCACCAGAAATGAGAGCCCAGCCAGGTGTCAGGAAACACTCCCTACATGGAAGTAGCATGTTGCACCAATGCATATACTGTGGGGTAACCATGCCAGCAACAAGTTGAATGGACTTCCCATTAACTCATTTGCATGATTAGTTCAAAAGCCTGCTGGCCTTCTTCTTGAAGTTAGGTAGAACGAAACCAAACCAAACCCTATAGCTTCCAATTTTCCAGACTTCATGCCAAGTTGCAGGGATACAGATAAATATAACATAGGCTCTCTTATTGTGGAGACAGCCTATGAACATATTATTTTAAAATTATATAGTAAATGTCATGGCAGAGGGGTAGTCAGGGCAAAGCCCAAAAAGGTACCTAGCCCAGTCTGGTGGTTAGGGAAAAGGTTGGTTACTGGAAAAGAGGAATATTCTGAGTTTAGGAAGGAAAGTATATCTCAGAAGCCCCAAGTGTGTTTAAAAACAGAGGGAGAATGTTATCATTATGTATATCTAATATACCAATAAACATTTTGCTTCCCAAAAAACCCAAAACAAAACAAAAAAAAAACCCACAGGGAAGAAAACAGGGACAAATTCTGTAAAAACTAAGTAAAAAGGACCCAAAGGGATTCCACTGGGTCAATAATACGTGCTGATGGAGAGTTTGAATCCGGTGCAGGAAGCTAGATGATAGTAGGTTGGGGACTTGTGGGAGATAAGACAGAAAGACAAAAAGCTCAACTGGGAAAAGAGAGTGAATGGAAGGGGACATGTTATAGGGTTATTCTTCTTGATAAAAAACAAAACAAAACAAAACAAACCAGGTTTCTAACCTGACGAAAGTTGCAGATTGCAAGTGAAAAATAGGTAACTGCTAGAACAAGGAATAGGTTCATGAAGCTAGTTCCAAATCCCGCTCGTTTACTCCTGGCATGGGCTCTGACTCCCTCTCCTGACTCTATTACCTCCCTTTCTTGAAAGGCTTTACTTCTAAATTCCCTTACACATATTCAACTCCACCTCCCTAAAACACGGCAGTGACAACCAAATGTGAGAACCACAGAGGTTTGCAAGTCCTGATGACTAGCTCCCTCACCAAAGTACTAATCTACAAACATTAGTGTGCCTGTCTAGTAACTAGAATGCTTCTACCTATCATCCAGGGCATCCATTTCCTGTGTCTAGGCTGCCCTGGGGCACACATATCAGACTTACTAGTTGGAAGACTGTACAAAATAGATTTACAAAGAAGTCTTCTGAGAATTATTTATCCAGGCTCTGGTTAAATTTGAGGGTAAGACTTTTCTGCTAACTGGAGGATTCAAACTGTTGCAGGAACTCAAGAGATCAGAGAGAACAATGGGTGAAACAAGGATATATAGAGATGTACACCGACTTGGAGGACTTGTGTCCAAAGGCTGAGCCCCAAACAAAGGAAAGGCTCCAGTTTTATACATGCTACCAAGGGGCTTGGTCTGCCTAGTGGCAAGTAACTTGGGGGTGGGCAAGCAGAACAAAGGCAGTTTGTCAAGCTGAGACAGTTTTGCAATTTAACATACCTCAGTGACCTTGGTCAGGTTAAAACAGGATGTTATGAGAACAGAAGTTTATAAAAAATTTTACTTAGAGGGACAGTTACTGATTTTATTTGTATTAGAACAAAGAACAACAGCTCTGTTGCTTAGATTGGAGGACCCTGTTTTTCTTAAGTCCTGCTTAAAACCCATCCTAAATAGAACTTTGCCAAATGTTGCTCTCTGACCAAGTTTCTGATTTTTTTTCTCCTGTTTAGTCATATTTCAGTGAAGCTCACCAGGAAATGAACCCTCGCCTTTTATTAGAGTATATTAAGTCATCCATTTTATTTAGTCTTTTTTTTTTTTTTTTTTTTTTTTTCTCTTTTAGTTATATTTCAGTGAAGCTCACCAGGAAATGAACCCTCGCCTTTTATTAGAGTATATTAAGTCATCCATTTTTTTTAGTTTTTTTTTTTTTTTTTTTTTGTCTCCTTTCCGCCCTCACCACTATCATTGGGGACTGAACTCAGGTCTACACTTGCCAGGTAGGAGAGGCACTGCTGAGCTACATCCCTGGCCCTGGTTTTTTGGTTTTGTTTTGTTTTTTTTGAGATAGTCTTTATAGTATAGGCTGGCCTTTTAGTCACTATGTAGCTCAGGCTGGCCTTGAATTTGCAGTGATCCTGCTGCCTATGCTTCCTGAGGGCTGGGATTTCAGAGGTGCTCATGACATTGGGCGTAGGTATGGTATTTTGTCGTTTTTAACATTGGGTATAATCTTTCCCAGTTATTGGTGATCTCCTTTCACTTCTTTTTTTACTGAGTTCATCCTTTTCTTTACAATGCTTTATTGTTCATATTGCCTTTTCAGTAAATTAATGAAACCACCAAATTAAGTTTTCTTTTAAACCACAATAACGGAATTTTCACCTTTTATTTTGAAAAAAAACCAATTTAGAGTCTAATAGAAAACTGTCTAAGCCTGATAAAATACTAGGCTTTTGTTCACTACTTTTAAATGTTTATATGATTATCAGAGAACACATCTTAAGCCTCTGGAGGCCAAGAATTTTTTTTTTTTTTTCTCATTTTACTTACAGATACAGTACTCTCTACTGGGTAGGCTTTCAGTAAATATATTGATGAAGTGATTTTAACCACAGTTCTACTAGACTGAGCAGTGATTTGTCACTTAGTAATAGATGTGTCTTCCTAAACAAGTTTTGTTCTTTTGCCTAATAAAGCAAACAAGGCAACCTGTTTTCAAAAAATATCCTCATCCTATTAAGACATGGGATTGTGTAACATTCTGCTGGTTTAAATACTAATTAAATGGGAACCGACATGAAGTACTTCGTTCACACCAGGCAATATAGCAGACATGCATTAAAGTCTACTGAATTAAAAGAATGAATTGGGCAATTATTTGAGACTGTCCTCTTAACAGTAAAATAAAATTATTACCACTTGCTCCACCTCCCACACGATTGCTGTCACATGATGTTTACGCAAGGGTCTTAAAAACTCTCAAAAGTACATTACTACTTCAAAGTGCAATTCTTATGTTAATTTAATGTCACTCCTACAGCCAGCTATGTTTATGGCTATCAATTCATTAAATGCAGCATTTTCATTAAAATCCTCGATACTTCACAAAATTGTCCAAAGATATGACTATGCTGTTTTGGGTTATTCCTAATTTTGTCTGGATGCAGGGCTCCCGTGCCATCCGTATACGAGTGACTGAGAGAAACTCTTACTCTAAGGAGAAACACTCATTTTTCTCGACTCCTGTTTTCTACCGTAAATAAGCGCCTGGCAGAAATCGCGCGAACCAGGAACCCCAAACAGCACTTAGAACCCCCCAGCTCTGCGTCCCCGACTGCAGCCGCGGTGACCGGCACCGTCCCGCGGCGGCGAGGTCGGTAGGA